GGCAACACAGTGAGACTCTGTCTCAAAAAAAAAAAAAAAAAAGTAGCAGGCTCCTGGGTAATCACCTCTGGGGTGCCACCACTGTCCTATGGATAAAGAATAACTTGGGTACTTGAGATGGAACAGGAACTGCTTTAGGCCCTCTTCATTTAAACAGGAACTCGCTGAGCTGAGTAGGCATTTCCCCAGTCTTCCAGAATACTCAAGGTTGTACAGCCTTAGCTCTGCCCATTATAACTTCTGCCAAAGCACATCTCATTAAAGTGTAAACTGTCTCCTTCCTCAGCACACTCTAGCAAGCTGGTCCAAGGGCCCAGGTTATGTAAGAGAAAGAGATGTTTCTTGGGCCAGAGGGGCCCGCATCCTGCTTCTGGGCTGCCAGGAGGAGGGAAGACTGGCAAGGAAATGCACGTGGATGTGTCAGTGGACTGAAGCACACAGGCAGCCTTGAAGAAGATTCCCAGCCTGAACGTGACCCGGAAGCTGCAGAGCCCCCTGGCCTGGAAGGGAGGTTCTGCGCAGCTAAGGATGATGGAGCAGACAGGCAGGAACTCCCTGCCCAAACTGTGGCCCACCCAGAGAAGGCAGGGGCAACTTCAGTCAGGACTGAGGTTTAGGTTTTATTTCATTTTTTTTAATATGCCAGAATAGGGGCTCAGAGTCAAAACGAACTTACTGTGGGAAATAAAGTTCTATTCTTTGCCCACCTGAATTTGGGATGAATTGCACCTGCTCCGTAAAATCCAGAGAGAATGTTCAAATGGAAACAGGCAGACAGCCTCAAAGGGAGCGAGGATTCCAAGGCCACCTGGCTGCTCCCCCCAGCCTGTAGACCAGGAGCCCCTCGGGCACCCGTTTCTGCACCCGGGCAGTGATGCTGCACACTGGAATCACGTGGGAGCTTTCAAAGCTCCCCTAGAGATTCTGATTTAATTGGTGTGGGGCACTGCATGAGGATTTCCAATCTCCCCAGGGGACTGCTCTGTGCAGACAGGCTGTGAGACATGAGCTGGAGGAAAGGTCACCTGGGGGCTTCTGGCATTTCCCTTTTGCTTGGCCTTGACCTGACTTGTGAGTAGAGGTCAGGAGACATATCCTTTACCTTTTGTTCATGAGCTGAACAGGATCTGTGCACTTGGACTTGCAGTGATGTGGACTGCTGGGTGTCGGGGAAGGGCACGTAGACAGGCCCAGTGACAAACCCGGCCCCGATGTTGGCAGTGCCAGGTGCTTCTGGTATCTGAATGGTGTCAGGATCCACAGAAAGAGCCAAGAGCTTCCCGACCACTCCTGTCCCATCCGAGGCTTCCCTGGCTGTCCTCTCCAACTCATTATGGGATGTGGGTTGTTATGGTAATGGTGGAGGCTAGATAGAAAGGGGATCACATTGCCTCCTTCCACACTGCAGCTGGCAACATTCTGGAGCGAATGAATAAATGTGGAGGATGACGACCTCTTTCATGGTGGTACTGGAAAGACCTGGCACCTGTTTTCATGACCTGACTCTAGGACCCTGGGAAAGCCATCCTAACAGCGGGGCAGGATTTAGGAGGGGAAAGGGAGGGGCGGCGTAAAGAGAACTTACAAGGTTAGGGAAGGGTTTCTGTAATTGCTTTTAAATTCTTTTTGTTGACTATATCCCTAAAGTGTGATAAGATATTGTTAATCTTTGGACAATCTGGCCTTGACTACCTGGATGAACTTTTGTTTGTGGGTTCACTGGGTCTCCTCAGCTCCCTAAAGGCTTCTTGAATGAAAGCCGAAGTATGACAAGCCCCTGCAAGGAAGTCCGTGTGTCTTTCTGGTACGTGTGAACGATTCAAAAGACAGACCCCAGTCTGCGGCCACCCCGCCCTGACTGCGCCGGATCCCGTCCGCCCTCCAAAAGACAGACCCCAGATTCTTGCATTAAACTGACCGGAATTAAGCTGCTTGATGATAAATTCTATCTGGCGGATCATTTCGGCATTGCCTTCTTTGATGAAGCAGCGTAGGATGTCTTCCATTCCCTAGAAGGATTGGAGAGAGTAACAGTTAACACTTCAGTGTTTTTGGGGAAACTACTTTTCAATAAGGTAGTTTCATCTAATCAAAAGATAACTTTTTGGGTGGAGGGAGAGGATATGTACAGTAAAAATCCTCTGCTTAGCACTAAACATTCTTTTTGTTCTTTTTATAACTCATAGTGAAATTATTTTCTTCTTAGTTGATTATCTGACTTAATTATAAGACATTTAACAAAAAAAACCATTGTAAAATTGTACTGCATAACGTTGCTTTTAGTTTTGGCAATATGTTGTTTTGGCAGTTGGTTTCTTTCCTGTGTTTTCTCTAAGTTTATACACTGCCTTCTGGATTTTAGGGCCAAATAGATCTTTGAAAAGTGAAACCGTATGTTTAAGAGAAGTAAATGAACAACAGAATCTCTCTTTAAACAGATACCATTCTTTTTCTAACAAAAAATTATAAAGTCACTATACTATGCATTATTTTCTTTATTATAATACACTGACACCAGAATTTTCAATATTGGCTAATAGAATTCCAGGGAAATGCAGAGGTAAGATATTGACTTAAGCAGTATCTAATTCCCCTCCCTCCTTTTTCCTTGTAGGATTTGAATGACTATATACAGCTGAAGCTGATAAGGCCTTCTTGCCACCACAAAGGGAAAATGTGTCTAATAATGAATTCAAAAAAGAGGAAGCGGAGTCCAGAGGTGCTGGTAGAGAAATGGATTCAGTGACATGTGAACCCTGAGCAAACTGTGCCTGAAGCTTATCCTGGACTTTTAGGTACACGACCCAGTAAGTTCCCTTTTTTTGTAGGCCAGTTTGGAATCAATAGCTCTAACTGAATCAAAGAAGTGCCAAATACAGCTCTAAACATGTTGAGTTCTCATCATCCAAAGCAGAGCATGACCTTCTAGAAAGGTTAAATCAAGATTGTAAGGGTGGCCGGGCGCGGTGGCTCACGCCTGTAATCCTAGCAC